CATGCATAAGTAGAATCTAAGTACACAGAGTGTATAATTATAAATCATATAACAAATTATATACATACATATACATATATATATATATACATATATATATATATATATATATGTATATCAAAGAGAGAGAGAGAGAAAGAAATAGAGAGAAAAAGGGTATGAGAGAGAGAGAGAGAGAGAGAGAGAGAGAGAGAGAGAGAGGAGATAGTCTGAAGAGAAACACAGAAAAAAAACTGCAGAAAGAAAGAGAGAGAAAGAGAGAATCCGAAGGAGAGGGAGGAAGGAGTGAGATAATTTAGCGGCCAGCGTCTTTTTTTGATATATATTATATACATATATATATAGAGAGAGAGAAAGAGAGAGAGAAAGAGAGAGAAGATAGTCTGAAAAGTAATAGAGAAAAAACAAAGAGAAAGAGAGAATCCGAAGGAGAGAGAGGAAGGAGAGAGATAGTTTAGTGGCCTGAATCTTTTTCAGCTGATTTATATGCCGATGATGTTATTATGCTTTCCAATGAAAAAAATGTTCAATTATTTCATTTTCATCGCCTAATTCATTTAAATTCGTTTATTTAGTTATTCATTCCCTCATTCATTATCCAATTATTTATTTACTTACGCGTTCCATACATTTTTCTTATTATTAATTATTATTTTTATTGCTGATATTATTATTATTATTATTATTGTAAATTTCTGGCATTATTATCAAGATTTTCTTATTATTATTCTTATTATTATTATAATTAGTAGTGGTGGTGGTAGTAGTAGTAGTAGTGGTAGTTGTAGTAGAAGTAGTAGTAGTAGTAGTAGTAGTGGTAGTGGTAGTGGTAGTAGTAGTGGTAGTAGTAGTTTTTTTTATTTTTATTGTTAAATCTGTGTTTGCAAACATTTCGAAGACATATTCCTATTTACATTTGACAAACATTCTTTTGTCAAAAGATTTTAGACTTTTTCAACCAATCAAACAATCAAAATATAACTAAATCAATCACTCAATCCATTATTTAACCAACCATTCAATCTATCAATTAACCAAACAGTCAATCAATTAATCAACCAGTCAATTAATTAATTAACCAGTCAATCAATTAATCAACCAGTCAATCAATTAATCAACCAGTCAATCAATTAATCAACCAGTCAATCAATTAGTTAAACATTCAGTCAATTAATCAACCAGTCAATCAATTAATCAACCAGTCAATCAATTAATTAAACATTCAAACAATTCATCAACCGGTCAATCAATTAAAAAAATAGTTAATCAAACAAACAGATTAATTAATTGATCTATCAGTTTAATCATTTTATCCAGATATGGAATCAATCATTCAATTTATCAATCATTCAATCAATCAATCTATCACTCAATTAATCAAAAATCAACCAATTAAACAGCTCAATCAAATAATCAATCAATCTACCATTCATTCATTCATTTAACCAATCAACCAACCAGCCAAATGAGTTATTGAATAAAACAATCATGCGACAATTTAATCAATTGCTAAATATATAATTTAACTTAAAAAATTTAGACAGAATAGATACAAATAATAACTTAAAAAGTTTTAATATTAACTATATGAAAAAAAATAATTTTTAATAAGGTTAAGCATAATTAAAAACCAATAAAAATTATAATGTAAATTTATCATTAGTGAAGTGAAAGGGTACTGAGTGACCTTAGGAGTGCAAGTTACGTATCTATTGGTAGAGTGGGGTATTCATAACGACGATGATGATGACGACCGACGATGATGATGGTGATGGTGATAATGATGATGACGCGGTGACTGACGATGATGATTGCGTTTTGTTCGATTTCATTATTTATTGTAATGATGATGATGATGATAATGATGAAGAAGAAAAGGACAACGACAATGATGATGATGGTGATGGTGGTGTTATGAAATAACAATAATAATAATAATAATAATAATAATAATAATAATAATAATAATAATAATAATAGCACTCCGACCATGAGGTCTATTTGTAGCAACCAAAAAACACACAGGTTGTCTGAAGCATGGACACAAATTGATTTCAAAATATTTTCAGAAGAACGAATGAACGATCGAACGAACGAACGAACGAACGAACGAACGAACGAATGAATGCATGAATGAACGAACGAACAAAAAATAAATAAAAAAAAGAACACTTTCCAATGATAATAATAATAATAAATTAGACCAAATTCAAATCAGACCAAGTTTTGACTCGTTCACATAAACAAATCAATTTTTTAATCATAAAAAATGTTCAAAATAAAATGAAAAATAATAACAATTCAATTATTCATCATTGTTTATAACAATATTATTAATTAAATTATTATTTATGTTTTTATTGCTATTATTTATTTTTATTATACTAATGTTATGATTGACACATCCCATTATAAAAACATCTCTTGTCTTCTTCCATACCTTCGTTCCAGCTTGAAATATGAAACACTCTTTTTCACTTTTCTCATGTTGTTTCGGCCTTTATCTCTCCCTCTCTTTATCTCTCCCTCTCTTTCTCTCTCCTCTCTCTCTCTCTCTCTCTCTCTCTATCTCTCTCCTGCTATCTCCTTCTTCTTCTTCTTCTTTTCTTTTTCTTTCTATCTTTCTTTCATTTTTTTACTCTCTTTCTTTCTTCTTCCCTCCTCTGCTTCTCTGTTTTTTTAGTTCTCACTTTTTGCCTCTGTTTCGCTTTCTATGTACATCTGTTTGGCTCTTTCTCTCTCTCGTTTTTTCTCCCTCTCTCTTTCTCTCTCTCTCTCTCTCTCGTAATTTGTATGTTTATCGTCATGTTACAGTGTCTGATATGTTTGTATTTATTTATTTACAAGGAACTTCTTGACGTAAGGTAGAATTGTATTTCAAAAAATTATTTGATTAGCAATTTGTGTGTGTGAGTGTGTGTGTGTGTGTTTATGAGTGTATGAGTGTGTGCTGTGTATATGTGTGTGTGTGCTGTGTATGTGGTTTAGTGCCTGCTAGGATAAATACCCAGTACCCCGATACGCAATACGGGTATTATTGTATACAAAAGAGGAATACAAACGACCAAGACTTTTATAAAAAATAATTCTCATTTTTAATATTCTTATTATTTTTACTGATTTTAATAATTTTTTTTATTAGTTATTAATGATTTCAACAACAGCCTGCGAATTCGCCACGCTGTGAATCCTACATTGCATTCAAACCCGGAAACTGCAACAACCGACACAGGCGATCAAACCAGCCATTGAAAGTTAATGAATTAACTTACATGCATTGACATACAAATGGTATATAAATAGTATACAAACAAACAAGTGTATGAAGTATACAAACCAACAAACAAACAAACCTCCCTCATTCAACACACATTCATTACATTTGAAACATCAGTACAATAAAAGTGAAGATTCTTACTATATAAGATACGAAACTTTCAACACCAAGGAATACTAACGAACTTCGATATATCGGCTGATTCTCTCAATGTTCACTTTGAGAAAATTTGGATATTGTACTTTTAGGGACACATACACACACATACACATAGACACACACACACACACACACAAACTTTTCCATTAATATATATATCTGCTTGAATACATACACCACTCATTGAAACTAGACAAAATTCTTCAAATCATACAACAAACAACTAAATAAAACATCAACACATCTACACACCTACGCACACATACACACATTTATTTGCACATGCACACGTAAAAGAACACACATACACATGCACACAAGTATACACACATACAAATTAACACAAAAATTTTACAGAAGTACACACGCACACACACAAACATAACACACACACGCACACAACCAAACACATGCACGCTCATGCTTTTATCCCAAAGTGTGAAAACCGACAAATATGTGTTACTACGTCACAGTTCACACACACACACACACACACACAGACACACACACACACACACACACATTGCAAAGTCATTATGTCGTTGTTTACACATCACGAAAACAAAGCTTACTACCAGTTTGTTTGCATACATAAGCAGATATTTGTTCAAGTATTTAGTTTAAGTATTTTATTCAGTATAAGTTTTCCATTTGGAATAAGTGTAAAAAGAGACAAGTTCATAGGGGGGGGGGGGTTAAGCGGGAATGCCATCTCCCGCCATACAATGAAAGAAAAAACTTCTAATAATCTGTAAAATATTGAAAATTCCGTGTAGAATTTGAAAGAATAATCAAAACAGAAACCAACAGAAAAGTATTCTGTTTAATATAAGTTCTCCATTTGGTATAAGTATTTAGTATTAGCATTCAGCATAAGTAGAAGTATTTTATTGAGTAATTTATAATTATGTTTGTACAAGGAGAGGTATGTGTTTATGTTGAGGATTTGTTTGATGCCCGCGCGAAACATGTTTAAGATGCAACAACAGCTGCGAAAGTGGATCTATCATGCAATCATTCCTCTATTCCTTTTTCATTCATTCGTTCGTTCTTTCATTTTATTCATCCCTTTTTTACATTCTTTCGTTCATTTTTTCAACCAATTCTTTTTCCAAAGTTTTCCCCGATTTAAAATTATTTCTAGATCTCAAAAATTTTGAGTTCGTTTATTTTTGTTATTTACATTCTAGATTTATCTATTATCTAGTATTTAACAGTAGTTTTCTATTTTAGATAAGTTTAAATAAAAATAAAATTAATTCAATTTAAATTTAAAATTATTCTTGATAAACCAATGAAAATTATGGTAGAAAATATTTATTAACCTAAGTCTTTTAGTGGTATTTATAATTAATTCAATTTAAATTCAAAATTTTTTTAATAAACTTTCCAGCCTGTAAAACCAACATGCACTAGGTTACATACATTCCGACGTGACAAACGAAACGAGACGAGACAAAACGAAACGAAACGAAATGTTATTTTGTCTCTGAGCACATATGCACATGTATTCAAATGTATATACGTAAGACAAATAAATCATCAGCCCTATTTATGTATATATCATTTGAGTATCGATAGCTCATATGCCAGCAGATATAAATGAATGATGTTTAGCATACCTATGACGCCAACAATAACACCGATAACACACTACCACGACGACAACAACAACAGCCAAACTATCAACAACTACACTGATAACAACTTCACATAAAAACAACACTGAAAACAGAAGAACAACGTTAACAACAACACAACAACAACAGCAACGTCACCAACAACAAAAACAGCAAAAATAACAACAAAAACCACAACAACAACCGTAACAACAAATCAACAATAGCAACACCAACAGTAGCAAACTCCTGACATCACTCAACTCCACAGTTCAGAGAACAATAAATCATATTCTGACAAATTTGTCAGCAGATTTTATTTACTAACTAACAGTCTCTCAATCTCTCTCTCTTTCTCTTGCTCGCTCTCTCTCTGTCTTTCTTAATTTTTCTTTTTTTCTTTCCTCTTTCTACATTTTTTTCCATCTTTTTTTTTCTTTCTCTCTCTCTTTCTCTCTCTCTCTCTCTCTCTACTTTGTTATTAATCGTTTGTTTTACCTGTCAATTCACACAATACATGAGAGTGACTGGGAGAAAGAAAAATGAGTAAGATAGATTGAGCTGAACAATTAAGGTAAACGACATAGTAAAAAAGTATTGAATGAAAAGAGAGAGAGAGGAAGAATAAGATGGAAAGAAAGTTTACCAAGATGACAAAAAAATTGAATAAAGGAGTAAAGCAGAAAGTGAAGGAATGTTTAAAATGTTATGTAGTTAGAAGAATACAAATAAGAAAAACGATCGAATTTCGACGATTTTTTTTTTATTTTAATCAAATCAGAAGTTTGAAGTTTTTTTTTTCCAAACTGAAACATAACATCTTTAGATAAAATAGTATAGAGGAACACTCGTATGTTTGTAGGTAGGTAGGTAGGTAGGTAGGTAGGTAGGTAGGTAGGTAGGTAGGTAGGTAGGTAGGTAGGTAGGTAGGTAGGTAGGTAGGTAGGTAGGTAGGTAGGTAGGTAGGTAGGTAGGTAGGTAGGTAGGTAGGTAGGTAGGTAGGTAGGTAGGTAGGTAGGTAGGTAGGTAGGTAGGTAGGTAGGTAGGTAGGTAGGTAGGTAGGTAGGTAGGTAGGTAGGTAGGTAGGTAGGTAAGTAGGTAGGTACATTTGTAATCAATCATCATCATTCTCGAGTGAATAAAATCATTTATTGCCTATTCGTCAGGACCATCAAAAATTTATTTCGATTTTTTCAGCAAAAATGATAAAATTATGCTTTGTTGAGTCTGTGTTTTAGATTTTCATTGTGGTTATGTATGTGTGTGTGTGTTTGTGTGTGTTGGTTCGTGTGTGTGTGTGTGTGTGTGTGTGTGTGTGTGTGTGTGTGTGTGTGTGTGTGTGTGTGTGTGTGTGTGTGTGTGTGTGTGTGTGGTTTGTTTGTATGTGTGCTGGTTCGTGTTCATGTCTATGTTTCAGGCACTGTATTTTTTTCCCTTTATATATGATTTTGTTCTGATGTACAACCAACACCAACAGTCGTTGAAATATTCTCAAGCAAATACATTTTTAAATAGAAATAACAGAAGCCGTCAGAGCGCTTGAAAATAAAAAAAAAATGAAAGGCCATAATGAAAAAAAGTTAAATTGAAATTTGATATTTAGGTTAAATATCAGGTAACCGTGGAAGATCATAAATATATGCAAGAGTGGGAAATAAACGTTTCATAAAGTTTAGTTGTTGTTGCACGTTGCTATGTTTGAGAAATATGTCAAAAAATACGTACTTCCTGGAGTAATAATTTTAACAAATAATATTCATCCAATCATAATTGAGATGATACAAAATTTTATTCAACCATAATTGGATAATTTTTTTCCAATTATGATTAAGATAACTATAGTTTTATCCAATCGTAATTAAGATGGCAATAATTTTCACCAAATCAAATTTAAGATGGCAATAATTTTCACCCAATCACAATAACTCAACAATTCAACAGATCAGAAAAAAGAAAAGCTAACAAACGAACCATATAGACATGGACAGGAGATCCTTCAACTGCCAGACCTTATTAGTATTCATGACGCCACTTCCTCTGATTAGGACGCCATACTGGGGGTTGTTTTCAAATTTGATTCCAACTTCCTCGTCGTTTGAATCGTATCCGAGGATCCTAACAATGAATTCATGCAGTGCACGGTTCAATGATTTCGTCTCGCCAACCTTCATAAGTACATAGGCCGTCTCGTTATTTGTATGCGTTGGCTGGATTTCTACGCTGACCTCGTAACCTTCTGAACTTTCAAAGCAGACGCCACACGACGCCGAAAGGTTAAAGGTCAGCGTGAATTTATCCCAACAACTGCGCTCGTTTGATGTTGACGGCGATGATGATGATGATAATGATGACCAAGAGGAAAGAGATGATGATGATGATGATAACGATGATGATGATGATGATGATGACGAAGATTTAGTCTGTGTGTTGGG